TTTTTAAATTTCCTTGCCCCGGGGGTTCCCCCCTTTAAGACACAGGGTAATTTCCACAAGCAAAACGATTAATAAACAGTTTATTGCACCAGAAAGGCATACTTTGAATGCTGATTTTAAGCTACAATAAGTACAGTACTAATGAAAAACCCAAACCCTGTGAAGTATTTCCGGAACCAAAATATTGCGAAAGTAACTTATGGACAAAACACATTTTACAAAAATTGAGAATAACAGTGTTCAAGTGTGCGTTTTCTGTGATGACGAGGCGAGGAAGAGACCTAAAGGGGAGGACTCTCCAGGTGGGCAGTAAAGCTAGTATACAACAGGTGGCTCACCTTGAGAGCCCCCTGCTGATACTCATAATGATCCTGCCACCACACCTCTTCCCAGTACCCTTATTCTGCTATGACTTCCCAAAACCCAACACTGACCCTCGCCTCATCATACATCTCTCCCCACCCCTTTCCTCGTCTTATCTCTCCCCACTACGACAGACCTACCTACACCACTCCCAACACCGGGACATATAGCTGGCTTTTGCTCCCACTATATAATTATGATATAGTGTTAGCAATTACTGATGTACCCAGTTTATTAAAACATAGCCAAACAGCCGCTACCTGCATAATACACAATTTTCCCTTCAAGAGAGGTTAACTTGATTAGATTTAGATTTTGCCCCCGAAGTGGCTAGTTTATTGTGCACCCCATATCCATCACTAAATGGTGAAGGGCTCTTTAAAAAGGATGGGGAACTATCCTTCCCTTCCTTTAATCAAACCTGACTTCCTCCTATTCCTTAGGTACGGTATGACCTTTAACGGGTTTAGTACTTCCCCTTGAATATAACTAGGTGCATTTCAGGCGCTGCGAAATCCAAGAAACGTATCCCCCGGATCTTATAAGCCCAACTCTCTCTACCTCAATGCATGCAAAACAGTCATAAAGTTCTATTGCAGAAAATATAAAAAAATATGTACAAGTTTTGGAAAATTTCCTATAATTTTCCTATAATTAGTAATGTGCATGTGAAGTGTTAATATAATATAATGTAATGTAAATATGAAGGATCAATGGTAGTCACAAACTACCAAACTATTTGTGAGGAAGCGAGTGAGTGCTTCCAACTGAGTGGGGGAGGGGGATTTGTGTGGATGGCAAGAGGTCAGTGTTGGTGACACGGGTGTGGAAGGTTGACTGCTGGTTGTCTCGGATGCTCTTTATCTGGCCCCAGTGGAGAAGTCATAAAAAGAAAACAATCTGAGGAGTAATGTCCGGGTAGCAGTCTTGAGAAGTAGTGTTGGCTCTCTCAAGGCCGAAACTTCAAATGAAATTAATTAACTGGGTAGCATTCTTGAGAAGTAGTGTTGGCTCTCTCAAGGCCGAAACTTCAAATGAAATTAATTAATGTATAATAGAAACGGTGTCCTCAGAAACTGATGAAGTTCACACCACATGTAATGTACGCTTCCCAGTGTATTAATTTTCACTACAGGTATGTTAATTTATATTGGCTAATATGAACTGCCTACCGAAAAGGCGTTAGGATATGTCACCAAAATCTTAATTTGGGGACTAATATTGAAAAGTCCTTTATACTTTTCTGATCATGTAACTGATTTATACTTATATAAAATTACCCAAGCAAATTACTCAGTTCAAGTAATTGATATTACCGAATATATACAGTCCACACATGTCAGTGTTACTGGTATAATTTTTTCAAATAATTTTAAGAACTATATGTTCTAATAATAATTTAAGGTCCAGTCGTATGAGAGGTGATGACCTGAGGTGGGATATTACTGTGATCTGGTGGCTTAAAAGTCCCACCGGACTCTGAGCTACATTAATATCAGTAAGTGTTAGCCGTTTGATGTACCAAGGTTTCTTGACAATTATAGGGGTGGAATAATTCAGGACACTGCCTGTAAAATTTACCCGCATTTCTCATAGAAGTGTTTATGTATGTCTGCATATGTATATGTACACTTCATATGTATACAAGTGAATGGTATATAATTATATATAATTATATATATATATATATATATATATATATTATATATATATATATATATATTTATAAAATATAAAATATATATATATTATATATATAATTATATATATATTATATATATATTTTATATATAATATATATATATATAAATATATTTATATATATATATATATTTATATATATATAAAATATAAATTTTTAATATAATTTTATTTTTATATATATATATTTTAATATATATATATAAAAAAATATATATATATATATATATATAATTTTATTTATTTATTTATGAAATTGTATGCATGCGTGTGCACTTGTATACTTATGCACGTGTATACATTGTGCATTTATACATGTGTATATTTATACACAGGTATATGTATACAAGAGTATATGTATGCATGTGGACATGTTTACATGCGTGTGCACTTATGCATGGACACTTACTCTAGACTTTCAAGTAAAGCGATGACTTAAGTCTTACCTTATTGTTTTTGACATTTCAAATAACCTTTTCATTTACTTTAATTATGATTATTACAGAATGATCTAAAAATTCAATATGGTAGGTGTAATAAATATCCACGTCCATAAATACACCTTCGGCAGGTTATTTGCCTCATAGGAAGACTGCTCCTTGCTATACTGCCGAAAAGATAAAGAACTGGGTAAATTATTGTGATTTTTCCATACATTAATGACTGGCTTGGAGACTCCTCTGTGCGGTGAGGAGGCTCTTGGTCTGAGGAATTAGACCTTTTGGTCTCCTTCCTCAGACCGAACCTAATTACCCCCAATCCCCCCCTTCCCTATCCCATCCTCCCCATCCCCCCTTCCCTCCTCCTATTTTCAGCCTTTGGGCTTCTTCCCACAGGCACTCTAGTTCTAAGGTAGGGGAAAGGGTACCAGGGTCCATCCCATTTCGTTGAGGTCCTTGGCGGTGGCATAGTTTGCCGTGGAATCTGGATTACCTGGAGGTGTCCCGATTTCTCTCCGGTCTCCTGGGGGTGGCTTTGGGTGCCTTTCGGGTGAATGGTGTATCTCTGGAGGCTGCCTGTCCGATTCTGGGGGGTGGTGGCCGAAGGAGGTATGCTTTGTGGATGGTGTCCGGCCACTCTCTTTTGTCCACCGAGGTGGCTCAGTGGATGTGAGGTTACTATCCCGGATTGCTTGTTTAGGGTAGGGTATGGCATGGGTTCCATGCCACATCTGCACTACTGGCAGTGCTGGAGTCCTCTTGGGTGCAGAGGGGGATTTACTGCCCCCCCCCTTTTCTTTTGTTGCCCCCTAAGAGCTATTCCTCCATGTTCCCCCTTTATAACCATGGAGTCCCAAATCCATGAACCTGCTCCCCCCGGGCCCCTTTATGATACCACACACTGTTCTGACCCTGCCTAGTTATATTCCGACTGACTCCTCTGATATGTCTGACCTCTGCTCTTCTTTGACTATGCTTCCAACTTCTAATTCTACAGTGCAGCAATTTTCATATCTCCTGCCATCCCTCGTCGGACCAACTCTGGTCCCACACCTAAACGCCCAAGACCATTACCTAATGATACTACTACGCTTCTTCTCATTCTCCTCAGAAAAGAACGGCACGTCACGCACTCCCCTTACACTGTTTCAAACTACACAATGGACTAAGTTTTTTACTCTACGACCAACTTCCTCTTCCACCTATCTTTCCGACCATAGTATTGGCAAGATGCTCATACGCCATGTTGGTAGAGATATCCTTTCATGCTCTCAAGAGCAGTACATGCATCATCACTGACCAGAATGCTTGCCAAGCTCAAGATCTTTCTCTCCTTACAACTATCAATGATATTCCTGTAACTAATGAAAAGCATCATTCCCTCAATTCTTGTAGTGGTACTGTCATTCTACCCCATACCATTGTCCAACAGAATTTCCTGACATGTGGTGATGACAGTCTGGAACAGCTTGAACTCCAAGACCTCCTAGTCCTCAAAGTAGACACTTATGTCCTCCCTGGCCGCAGGCGGAGATGATACCCTTGCAATGTAGCTCACTTGCCTTTTGACTGCCGTGAGCTTGTCCTCTGTTTATATTGCAGGACACTGTTTACAAGTTTGAAAGGTGATCCAGTGTAAAAATTGCTGACACTTTGGTCATCCAGCAAAATATTGCAGGTCCTTGATGGAATGCCCAGTCTGTGGTGCCGAAGGCCATACCAATACGTCTTGTAGTCTACCTCCCTCTTGCCTTATTGTCATGAGGCTCGCCCATCTTACTCCTGCCATTGCCAAGTTTACTTAAATGAGCAAGAAATCTGTTGTCTCAAAAGAGGCAGAAGGCCTCCCACATGCTATGGCAGTCTCTCATCTATGCTTCCAAGGGAGACTTAACCGTATTTCTTATTTTCGAGTTACTAAATGTCCCCCCACCTCAGGGGTCCCCAACTTCTGCACCCTCTGTGGTCACCCCTTCCACATTCACCATCTCTAATTCTTTTGCTCTCCTGGAGTCAGAGGTCCTTACCTCGGCACCTCATTATGTTCTCACCTCTTCCCCTTCTCACTCAAGTTTGTCTAAAGACCTCATACAACACCTTCCCATTGCCCTCTCCTCCACCAAATTCCAAAACATCTGTACTGTTAAAATCTCCTTTAACCCTTCTTTCCTTCTGCAACCTGCACATTTTTCCTTCCCAGTCTCTGTACCCAGTTCTTCATCTCTACTGCTCTTGTCAAGAGTGTGGAGGTTCATCCTCCTCCTCGTATAGTACTTTCTCCCCTGTCCCCTCCCAAGTTTCTTCCTCTTCTGCCCCCTCCCAGGTCACTTCCTCTCCTGTCCCCTCTCAAGCTTCTACACCAGTTCCCTCTACCTTTTGTCCCTTGTACTTTGGTACAGTCCATCATCACCCGATATTTACTCTCCTTCCTTCTTCCATCTCCAATACTGTACCACATACAATGTCCTTGTCCTCTGAAACACCTGAAGCTATCTCAGAATATATCGAGACTAGACCACTGATGGACACTGATCCACCTCCTGTTCCTCCTCTCCACTCTTCTCCGTCTGCACAACTCCTTTCTTCAGTGTCCCAGTCCTTCACTGTTTAAAAGTTTTCTGTTGCCTCCACATGTGGACTTTTCTTACCCTATTAATCCGTAGATACCTCTACCTTCAGATTTCTTGTATCTTTCTCTTCGCAAATCATAGCTTATTTACAGCGGAATATCCATGGCCTCAGAGGTAACCAGGGTGAGCTTCAGGTGTTGCTCTCCCAGTTTTCCCCTGTTTGTGTTTGTTTATAAGAACCCAAAATATGATCTGCTGTTATCCATCCCATCTCGGGCTATGAATTTATATTCATCAGATCCTTTAATGAAGTGGACTTCTTATACACACCGGTATTCCATACTGTCAGCTCTTTGTTCATACTTCGCTGCATTACACTGCAACCTGTATCCACTTGAATAAGTGGTATACAATCTGTTCTTTGTACCTCTCTCCTTCTCGGGCATTATCTATCCCAGATGTTGCATTTCTGGTTTCTTCCTTACTGCCACTTCTGTTACTTGGGGATTTTAATGCCCACCATTTCCTCTGGGGGGGTCTCACTGTGACTCCCGCGGCATTCATTTGGAGGCTTTTCTCGCTTCTCTCCCCCTCCATGTTTTAAATGTGGGTACTCCCGCCCATTTTGATCCACATACTCATTCTCTCTCTTCCATCGATCTCTCGATCTGATCTTCAACTGTACTAGACTTCACCTGGTCTGTCATCCCAGACTTGCATGAGAGATCATTTTCCAATCATCCTTACTTCTCCTTCGTATTCACCACCTCCCTGTAGCCCACGCTGGCAATTTGACTGAGCAAATTGGGACCTTTACTCGCATTTAACTGCTTTTAGTGAGGTTCCTTCTGTGTCCACCATTGATGGAGCTTTTACACACTTCTTGGCTTCAGTTTTAACTGCAGCTTCACATTCTATACCCCAAACCTCGGGCAGACATTCTCAGAAGTGTGTGCCTTGGTGGTCTCCTGCTTGTGCTTGGGCAGTATGTTTGAAACGTGCTGCATGGGGCAGGTACAGGTACAATAGAACCATAGAGACTCCTTGATTTTAAGGCGAAGAGAGCAGTCGGTAAACGCACTTGCTGTCGGGATTGTTTCTACCGCCACTTCTGCTACTTCTACAAGTGCAGTCCGGAAAAAAGTACGGAAACCGAGTGGTAAATACTCTCCCGATTTGGCTCCTGTTCTTTGGGTTGCCAGTGTTATTATTGCAAACCCTCTTAATGTTGCCACCGAAATGGATAATCATCTTGTCCGTATCTCTTGGGAACTCCATCTATGCCCCTCGTTTCATTCCTCAAAGTCTGCCAGAGAGAGAGAGAGCCTTTAAACTTTTCTTCTATCAGAGAAGAATCTTATAATGTGCGTTTTACACTTCTGAAACTGGAGGCAATACTCAGCTTGCCGGTCATCAGCAGCTGGGCCTGACAGCATTCATATGCTACAGCATTCACATCGGTCAGCCCTTTCAGTCCTCTTAAGACTCTTTAATCTTATTTGGTCACAAGCTCTTCCCCAGCTTTGGAAATCTGCCACTGTTCTCCCCTTCTGCAAACCGGGTACTAAAAGACATGATGCCTCCCACTATCATCCCATTGGTCTTACCAGTGCAGTTTGCAAGGTGATGGAACATCCGGTAAATAGACGTTTGATATGGTATGTAGAGAGACAACAATTGCTCCACTAGTCAATATGGCTTTCATAAGGGCCGTTCTGCCATTGACCCCTTACTACGCTTAGATATGTATGTCTGAAATGCTTTGCCAATAATCGTTCAGTTATTGCCATCATTTTTGACCTTGAGAAGGCATATGACACAACTTGGAGGTATAATATTTTGGCCCAGGCCCACTCCTTAGGCCTCCGAGGCAATCTACCATTTTTCTTTAACCCTTTGACTGTCGCAACCCCAATTCTGAAACTGTCTGTGTTGCAAAATATTTGGGGAAAAAAAAAAAAAAAAAAAAAAAAAAAAAAAAAAAAAAAAAGTGTTAGTATTAATTTGCTGAGTGTTCAAAGCCTAAAAAAAAAAAAATTGCAATCAGTACTTACCGAGATATAGAAGCATAAAGTTGGCAGAAAATGAGCTGCGTATGGCAACAGCTGTAAATGCCGCTCACCCGGTACACTTATATTTATTCATTCGAAGGTTTTTTGTATTTTACAATAGTGGTTTTTTTTTTTCCAAGTAACTTACGTGGCCTGTGAGATCAATGTAAGGTGCAATGTACATATATACACTAGTTGTATGCAACACAATAACTGCATAAACATTATCATTATACTGTTTACAAAACTTGTTAACACAAATTAATTATTGCTATTGTTCTATAATTCTGTTGGACTGTCCACTCTATCAACAAGCACGCAGAATTTACTTCCAGCATAGTCACCGCTCTACTGCCCTTGCTTTACCTTCCCTTCTTGCTGGTGGACCCTCCTTTAACCCAGACTCTCTCATTGACTTTTTGACAGCAACTGATTTACTACACAAGCTCTGATGATGATGCCTCTAGTACTACTCACAGCACTTTCTACCTCAATCTCTTGCTACCCTCTACCCCTGCACTATCCACTGCCCTGCTGCACTCCATGACCTAATGATCATCCCTCTCCCTCTTGCTACCCAATACCCCTACATCTTTCCCTGCCCAGTGGTGCTGTATGACCCTTGTAGGTTTAGTGCTTCTTTTTTTTTTTTTTATAATAATTGGTGACTCCCAAGGCTTGGAAAGTTGTTAAGCACAAGCTTTGTGGCATGGTTATACCCTCTAGCCTCAAAATCTCAAGTATCATTAAGCAGGTGTGGGAGGGTACTGACTTTTCTATCCTCCAAGCTCAGAGTCTGCATCCATTGATGCAAAAAGATTTCGCATTACTTTTTCGTATGTACAGTAAACATCTGATGAAACAGATTACTAAGAGAAAGGGTACCAGTTTTAGAGAAAAATCTGTTATGTTAAAAGTTTCAATTAAATGGCCTTGGGCCAGGATTGTCCAGTGCTTGCCTGGCCAACTAGGCTGTTGCTGCTGGCTGTCCACTGACCCGGTTTCCTCTTGAAGTATTTACACTTGTACCAGAGGTGTTTCTGAAATCTGCTGGTAGGTTGTTGAATAATCTGAGGCCATGGACATTGATAGTGTTTCCCTATGGTTCCCATAATGCCCTTGTTTTTCACTGGGTTTAGTTTGCACTTCCTCCCATATCTCTTACTGCAGTACTGTATATTATGGCAGAATGCAAGTGTGGGACGATTAACTACCAGCATGGACAAATGCTCCATAAAACAGACTTAATCCATCTCTTCCCCCCTTCTTCCTCCTTCCCCCTCTTAATGGAAATATTTTAAGTCACAATTAGTCGTATCATTAAGCAAGTCACATTTTAATGTATTATTACTACTGGGATATTCTAAATTAAATTGATCTATCTCCATCTCTTTCTCCCTCTCTTTCTGCATATATATATATACAAAAATTTTTTTTGCATTAAATCAGAAGAAAAATAGCCTTGTTGCATCCTAAAATGATGTGATTTTTACATTAAGTACATATTCTTAATCAGCATAAAAATAGTATCCTAGTGATTTCAGGCAATTCTGAAAATCCACCTGAAAAATCTAAAGAGGCTGAACTATATCATGTGGTTTTTTTTTGGGTGAAAAGCTCTAAAATGGGAAACAGACATGATGGAACTGTTTGTTGGATCAATTACTGTCAAAAAATGTGAAAAAATCCTGTATTGTACATAGGTTTCATTGAAGGTTAAAATAATTTTAATGAGAATGTTGGCATCCTCTATCAAGGCATCACCTGATGGTTTTGTTTTATCTTTTTAAGTGCATATTTTTAATCAACATAAAAAAACAGTACCCCTGGAGTGATTTTAAAAATTTTTGAAAATCATCCCTAAAAAATCTAAATGATTTAAAGTGTTTTGGGTTTGCTAAAGACAACTCAAGTTGGGGTTGAAATATACAGACCACTTTATTTTCTGTGCCTATATGGGTTATTACTGAGTATCGACTTATACTGGTTAATTACTTCACGTATGTTTAGGTTAACTTAGGTTACACTGGGTTCTAACAAATATCAACCAGACCTATCCTAATCTAAGCATAAACATGTGTGTTTAGAAATGAGTACTGTATATTACTGGAAAGCTCCGGTTGAATATTAGCTACTGGTTTGTTATGGAGTGTATTTTGCAACATAAAATTTTCCTTTGATTAAAGTAATTGGCTAACACAGTATATCCTGAAATAACAATTTGCTAAGAAATAAATATTTTTTGCCTTGGTTACGATACCCCTGGTTGTATGATAATAAATAAATGGCTGACCTATGCTCAGCAGGTTTTCTAATACTGATCCAATGGACTTTGTCAGTTGTTTGCGTAATTGTCTGTTATTGTTACAATCATGGCAAAACATCCTCATTCAGATTTAACAGCTATTCAGCATTACAAGACACCAACTCCACTAACAGTTAATTAAATTAAGATCATCGTGCAGACAAGGCTGTTTAGGTTACTTGATAATAAAGCAACATCCCAATGAAAATAAATCCCATTGTTTGACTTTATAGGGTTATCCTTGGTTGAATCTACAAAATTTATTGTATAGATGTGTGCCTTCAAGGCCACTATATATACAGTGGACCCTCGACTAATGATCTCAATTGGTACCCGAGAACGAATATCGTTAGTAGTTTTTTTAGCGTTAGTCGAGGCAAAATGTTAGCATTAAAATGTATCGCTAGTCGGATTTAACGTTATACGATGCCATCGTTGGTCGAGGGTCCACTGTATATAAAATTAAAAAAAATCTTTTATGCCCCCCCCCCCAAAAAAAAAGACCCTTCCTCTGTTTAATCACCACTTCTGTCTTGTGTAACGACCAAATGTGCTGGGCACAAATTTTCCAGATCCATTACTAGAAACTGCTTCATACAATGACCAGCCGTGCAAAACCAGCAAACACACATGCACACATACCTGACTGTTATAAGAGCTTACATGTCACTACATAATTCTTACAAAATAAGGCAATGTTGATTTCATTCAATTTCAAAAATGTCTATGTGGAGCTTTTAGGACACATTAAAGTTAGTTACTTTCATAATTTGCACAGCCATAACTTCCATTTTCAATAAACTGCTATTTAAATTTTATGTAAAATGCAGTACTACATAAACTGCAGGAGAAAAACGGCTTTCATGCAGGATGCAATATTTTTCCCCCTCAAAGGGTACAAACCTAAACAAAAATGTTTAATAGTGACAAGACAGGCATATTCGGAAGAAATTGCCTACTGAACTTACATCAGAAAACAGCAGAGATGCATGATAGAATGCCTAAGGACTCCAATAGGTAACAACTCTGCATCACAGCCCAAGAACAGCCATCCACTTCAGCCACCCCCTTAGCCCATGATCCACAGTCATCAACCACAAGATGGATAGCTGTTGACAAGGTCAACATGCATCAGCAACCAAAATTTAATCTACAAAAAGAAAAACTATTGCACAATATTTTTTAGCTGCCTGCATCAAATTTAAAGGTAAGGTTAGGTAAAAAAAAATTTTACATAACCTTCTAGCAAATGTGTACTATTTGACCTCAGTGGGTTATCCTGGGTTATATCTATATAATGTATAGTATAGTTGGAGTTAAATTATTTGAATGCTAAGTTTATTACAGTATAATTATTAATTATGGTATACAGTAATTACGTATATTATTATAATCATGACTTATGGAAAAATTAAAGTTTTGTTCTCGACACCTCCAAAAATGCCTTTTTTTTATTAACATATGTATTGGCTATTTTCCACCAGGGCAGGGCAACCCAAAAAAGAAATACGTACTTCCATGTCTCCACCCTTCCTTCAGAGTGCAGGCACTGTACTTCCCACCTCCATACATGTGGCTAACCGATTTTTGATACTGTGAGCGGATGAGGTGGACGGCTGTGGTTTGTGGGCTGAGGTGGACGGCTGTGGTTTGTGGGCTGAGGTGGATAGATGTGGTTCTTAGGCCAAGGTCGGGTATTCCATCATACATGTCTACAGTGTTCTGCTCTGCAGTACTACACACAGTCTGCATTTACTGTTGATTGGAGCACTCATACCATGCAACTTTTTGTTGTAAAGTAAAAGGACACAAATGCAACTAATGTGACATTTTATTGTGGCAACGCTTCGCTCATCCAGAGCTTTATCAAGCCTGGTAACGGCTTGATAAAGCTCCTGGAGAGCAAAACATTGCCACAATAAAATGTCACATTAGTTGCTTTTGTGTCCTTTTACTTTACTTAGTCAGTAATTCTACCAATATTAATACAGCTTTTATGTTCATTATTGCATCAGCAATACTAAATTTAGAAGCAGCAACTTCCAAAATATGCCTGTCTCATCTGCTTGAAACACTTGGCTCAGGCTTGTAGCCACAAAAGGAAAATGTCCTGATTTATGATATAATCATAGCAGAATTTTACTCATAATTAGTCTGCATACATTGAGTCTACTCTAGTTATAAAGTGCCCACAATGCTCTGTAAAACAATTATGTAATGTTAAATAAACTCCTGTAATACGGCTAAGTGGAGTTTTTGTTTAGGTTCTACATAAACTTCAGTTTTTACAATTGTCGTCAGAGCACATTAATACAATATGCAAATTTAATCTAGGATAACCCAGTAAAGTGAGACAATGCGATTCATTTTCACTGGGGGTGCTACTGTACAATCAAGTGATCTAAAAGCCTTTTTTGTGCATTAAACTTTATCTAATGGACTGCGGGAAGAAAAGGTGTCTAAAAATGCAGATTATTTGTTAGGTTTGAAAAATTAGATAAATTTGCCATGATCAGTGACCCGGTGGCCTGGTGGCTAAAGCTCCCGCTTCACACACGGAGGGCCCGGGTTCGATTCCCGGCGGGTGGAAACATTTCGACACGTTTCTTTACACCTGTTGTCCTGTTCACCTAGCAGCAAATAGGTACCTGGGTGTTAGTCGACTGGTGTGGGTCGCATCCTGGGGGACAAGATTAAGGACTCCAATGGAAATAAGTTACAGTCCTCGATGACGCACTGACTTTCTTGGGTTATCCTGGGTGGCTAACCCTCCAGGGTTAAAAATCCGAACGAAATCTTATCTTATCTTAACAGACAATTCTGGAAACTATTTTAAAATGTCCAAAGAAAAGTTGCTAAGCGTAAGTCCCCTATTTACTTATTTCTTATAGTACAAGTATGATATCTAAACTCGGGTAAAGATATTTATTTCATTGGCAAACTGTAATTTCAGAAGATATTAGCCACATAAATACTTTTATGTGGCTAATTTTGTGATAAAATGGCACTGTATCCAATCAGCAGGCAATATTCAGTCAAGGAATTCTAGTACTTTACCCACTTTCAAAATAAACATGCTTATTACTATTATTATTATTATTATTATTATTATTATACAGTAATTATATTTAGGCTAGGGCAGGTCTGGCTACATTGTCAGAATCCAGGATAACCTAACATATCCTACACATAATTACAGTGTACTACTGGTATAATGTTTTTGCAATGGGTGTATTACTGAGTGCTTTGAATGATAATAGATGCTAACTGGATATGCATTCTAACACGAAATCTACTATACTTATGTAGCCATTATCTCCCAGATTAACTATCTTCCCAGGATAATGACCATTTTTGTAAGGGTTTGGATACCTTCCTTGTGTGACAAAAAATACGTAAATGATAGAGTTCTGTTGAGTGGCTTTTCTAAATACTGAGTGCCTGCTATTTATAGGTATTGTCTGAACAATAGATTTTGGCCATTAAATCTAAAATCCATTAAACCATTAATTTACTATAGTTCAATTAAAGCAGGATTAATATGTCATCTAGAATTTCCTTCACTTCTTCGAAGATGTAGACTATTGGTGGTAACAAGACGACTAAGAGTAATATAAATATTACTACATTTCTATACTATACTAAAATACTACAGTACTATACTATTACTAATACTATACAGTACTACTATATTATTTTAGTATAATGGGGGAAGCCCTTAAACCTAGTAAGGTTAAACAATTTTATAAATGTGTAGTTCAGGTTTCTTGCATCAAAAATATATTTTTCTTAAGTAATTCATGGCTATTTTTATGATTTTCACACCCCTCCCATAAAACAATTTCTGTTGTTTTTATAGAAGGGGCAAACACAAGTAATTTACAACAGAGCTGTGAAAGCCATTAAAATAATCCAAAAACACACAGGGACAACAATGTATTTTTTAATAAAAAAAAAAAAAAAAAAAAGGTGCATGTTCAAATACCTGAGCACAGAACCGTGGGCTTGAACTGCCATAGTCAAAAACATGGCATAAAAGTTTACACTGAAACCACCAAACCTAACAACCTGCATCTATTATAATTTGCTAAACAAGATACATTTAACTTGTTAATTTTTTCTAGTGCTTCTGATTTAAGAGAGGAATTATTATAATCTAATCAAGCACTAGACCTGTAAGGGTTATACAGTAAGAAAGAAATATTGGCATTATTTGGCATAAGCAAGCAAAGTGTCATAACAGAAAACTGTCTTATTTCTGCACGAAATATAACACTTTGGATACACACAAGTCTTTTACTATGTATATCTGGACAATTTATTCATCATAAATTGATGCATAAATCATAAATTGATGCATCAAACGATGAGAGAGGTTTAAGAGCCTTCCCAGTATCATCATAATATATATATTTCTATATGTACAAGGTACACAGGCCTAGCTGACATCAATGACATACTACTACTACTACTGCAGTATACAGAAAGCTGCTTGTTATACAAAGCATTTTGGGCAAATTAGGTCAATTTTGTCCCAGGATGTGACCCACACCAGTTGACTAACACCCAGGTACCCATTATTACTGATGGGTTTACACAGACAACCATTGTAAGGAAACACGTGCGATGTTTCCACCCCTTTCCTGGGAATTGAACCCAGACCCTCACTGTGTGAAGCGAGAGCTTTGCCACCAGGCCACAGGGCACCATGGCATCATTATTATTACGGTATTATTAAGAAGCACTAAAAGTGTTGGGGACAGAGAACATGGGGCTATGGAAGCCATTCAGGTCTAATCCAATAAAGGGGAGGGTAAATCCAAATCCTTGGATCAAGAGCCCTTATCAGCAACAAGAAGGAAACCATCAATAAAATTAATTATTAACCTGGATCAAGAGCCTCTCACCAGCGTCAAGAGGGACCATCACCAACATTAGTACGTATTATTATTGCTAAAAAAAAAAAAAAATTCTTTGCAAAAGTTACAATGTGTGTTTACATTTCATAATTTGATTGGTACAAAGAAGGCTGCTATCATACCGAGGCATATCGGGCAGACTTAACCTAATACAGCCTCTCCTCGCTTAGTGATGTACTCGTTTACCGACTCAAACTTACGATGGGCTCTGACCAGTATGCATACCTAAATAATGCATATTAGAGCTGATTTTCTCTATTCTGTTTATTACAATATACAGTACACTGCTGCATAAACATTTAAAAATATACCAGAAATGTTATAAATGGTGCAAAGGTGACATTAAAACATTATCAAAAATGGTCGACAAACCCACTACCATTACAGTATGCTTCTCGCTTAGCAACAAATTCGTTTACTGACATGGTCTTAGGAATGGAACTCCATCATTAAGCGAGGAGAGGCTGTACTTAGACTACTTAAGGCTAGACAAACTTCAAATATTCAATATTTTACTCAATTATTAATAAGTAGTAGTAAAATTTATGATACAAACATGCATTTCTGGGTTTGTAATGGTTTAACAGAAAAGGGATAATAAAATATTTGGGAAATAAAATATTTGGGAGAGTTGCTTCAAATTTGGTTAAAGATTAGCATAGTGTGGGTATGGTTATTAATGAGATATGAGATGATTTTTAGGCATAGTCCTAAATTGATTTGTGGGCAGGGGACCTTTTGCTGGTTTGGGCAAAGAGTTCCTGCTCTTCAGGCCCTTTATGTGCATTGCATTTCTGCATGGTGAGAGATGGGCATGAGGGATGTCAAAAGGTGTTTTGTGTTTTGCCTGTGTGTTCTGTTGTAGCTGTCTAGAAGTTTGAGCAGAGGGTTTATATTAGAGTTTAATGTTCTGTATAGCATATAGTATGCACAATATTAACTTTGTATATTTTGTACATTAAGTTCAAGCTTTTGAAGAGTGGTGGTGGGGTATTGTCTGGCGCAGGAGTTTATCATCCTCACCGCATTTTCTCCTGGTTATTAAATGTTTGAGGTGAGTGGCTGTGGTAGATCCCCAAGAGCCTCTCACCAGGATCGAGGAGGGGTCCATCACCATTATAATTATTATTATAGTGGTGGCCCAAAGCCTGGAAAGCAACGCTCTTGCTTCACATAGTGTCCGTGGTTCGATCCCCAGCAAGGGTGGGGAAAAACTGGGCGCGTTTCCTTATTGTCCCCCCTTCACCTAGCTAGTGGGTACCTGGGTTTTAGTCGACTGTTGTGGACCGTATTCTGGGGAACAAGATTGAGGACCCCAATGGAAATAATACACAGTCCCTCGATGACTATATACTACTTGGATCAAGAGCCTCGCCAGAATCAAGACACCTCCCTAGTGGGAACTAAAATATAAAACCTACCTAAATGTTGGAGGTGCGTCAGTAGTGGACGATAATGCTCCTGCAGACGCACAACAGATATACCACTTAAAGTGTTAAGTCCAATGTGCACTAGTTAAAAGATAACCACTTGCAACACTTGATCACTTGCAAAACCCTCCCCCTAGCACTTATAGAAGCTAAATTAGAAGCACTTGCATGTCGAGAGTGCACCAGACAGCTGATCAGCATGTTTGTGTTGACACCCTCAAACACAGCCGAGTACTACATACTTAAAAAAATATATGTATATATATTTTTCATCTCCCTTGGTCAGAAATTATTATCGTTACACTCGTAGATAATCGTTAAATCCTCCTGGGATTATGCAGCACCTGGAAGATTTAAAACAAGGAAAGGGATCCCATTGGAAACTGAGGACCCCAATGGAAATAGTCACTGTTTTGGGGATTATCCGAGATAATTTGCACATTATATTTGTACAT